GGAGGATCCCAGACAGGGCGTACCTCCAGAAGCCTACCGATACGCGCCTTCAAAGACAAGCCTTCCCTTCGTGAGGGGCATATTCGTGCTCCTGACTCCCTTGACTACAACCAAGGACGTGAGACGTGCATTGTTTCCAGGATTCTTAATATTGTTTAACCACTCTGTTGATATAATGTAATACTCAGTGATTAAAAGGCTCAGGGTGTATAGTGACTGACTTCTGAATCCTTCCTTGTTGTGAAACACGAAGGCCGTGAGATAGATAGATCGAGACCGCCTGGGTCCGAATCGCCCGCTACCACTGACATCCCCTAACCTTATTGCACAGGGATCGGTCTCATATTAGAATAAATAAGTTGCCAGCCTCCGAAGAGAGAAAGAGTAACCGCACACACCGAACCTGTGACACTTCGCCGTGTCCTTCAGAATTAAGACGAGTATGAGGTCTGGGATGTGGTTCATCCCCCCTCATATCTCCAATACCGGCAGGTGCCGTGGAAGGATTTATTTTATATATATATATATAAGCTTAATAGCAGTTAAAACCACTCTTTCCTGCAAGTTAGGGTGACCAGACGTCCTGACTTTTCAAACTATGAATTTTCCTTTCCATTCTGGTTTCTTAGTTTTTCCACATTGCAAGGACTAACATTTGGGCATTTTTTTGAAAATTCCCCGGTTTTTCCTAAAAAAAAAAAATCTGGGTATGTCCATATTTTGTTAAATTGAAAGGAAAAAAAAACTAGATGGAATTTTAGCATCCTGCGGAACTCTATCGTGTGCCTTATTCAAAAATGGCTTCCAATTTTCACGCGCCAGCTTTCCCTCTTGTTTTGGGGGGAAATTTTACTCAAGCACCAATCAAGGAAAGGCAGGCAGGAATTTCCTTTGCCACCACGGTGAGTCTTGGGGATTCAAAGAATGCTCTCGCCGAAACCAAAATCGGAGGCGAAGGAAAATGTTGAAGACAGGAGCCACCGGCGAGTCCCGGTTTCAAGGCCTATAGCCTAGATTTTGGCTACCTGAAAGTCTTGCGACTTCGCTCCAGCCATGTGCCAAACTCGGATCCGCAAATCCAGTCAAGTCTTGAGGGTTCGAGACGGTGAGACAATCACGAAAGTGGGAGGGATGAAGGATCAACGGCTGGACAGCGGACGAGGAGTATAGAAAACTCATTTTGCAAAAATGGCGCGTCGCAAGGAGTGGGAGATGCGGTCCACTCTCGTTAATCCGAACGCCAGTAATCCGGATCACCCGTTAATTCGGACGTGAAGAATGTTCCCGGCAGAAGTCCCATAGAACAAATAACAAAATTCTCCTTTTAATCCGTTATTCCGTATTTTCCGTTTATCCGGAAGAGATAAACCCGCGCCATTCCCCCCCCCCCCCCCCCCCCCCCCCACCCCCCCCGCCCCCCTACCCCCCCCCCCCCCCCCCCCCCCCCCCCCCCCGTTAATCCGGACTTTCCTGCAAAATACATACAACAGAAAAGAGTAGATTTCCCTGCCTTTTTCCCACGTCTCCACTTTCCCTCACCCTTGGATTTTAAATAGAAAAATAAGGAGAAAACCTCTCCCCAATTTTCTGGAATCCAGACATGAGGAGAGAGCTTTTCATTGCCGTCACTCATCTCGATGAAACCTGCCACCAGAGGCGCGAGGAGCGTCTCACCTCCCATCATGGGTAAGCGTGGCGTGGTCCCGCACGGGAGGAGGAATTGGAAGTTTCCAAGCCGTCGGGCCTCGTCCGTGCCAGAAAGTTTTCAAGGCTGTGTTCATTTGCGAGGGAAGCTTTCGCGGTGAGGACGTCTTTGAAAGTTTAATGTGTAAGATTTTCAATGCTCTGAGAGATTCCTTCGAAAGGTTTCTATCGAAAATCTTATTTTGCAACATTCTTAGATCATATATGCAAGAAATTTTTCTGTTGTGGACTAGGCCTCAGTTGAAAGACAAGTTGCGGTAGCACGTGATTTGAATATTCCAACATCGCCAGTGTTGGATATAGGATATATAGAAGTGTCGCGATGAACTGGCTGGCGTCCCTCCCGCTGAAACGAATGCGAAGCGCACGCTTTCAATATGCACAGATCGAAAGAAGAGTCCAAGTTTTCCTATTCCCATGCAAACAATGAAGGCCTTCTTTGCACGCATGAAGTACAGTTTACTTTTCCAGGAAAAAATAAGAAAAATGGTCACTCGGGAGGCACTCGATAATCTGGATGACCGTTAATCCGGACAAAATCACCAGTCCCCTCGAGTCCGGATTAACGAGAGTTGACTGTATAAATTTGTTTAGCCTCCTTGCACGCTAGCGACACCTTTCGAGCATAACAGAAATCGATATCTTGATGGTAGTGTCTAGAGAGCGCTAAAATCGGTGTCATGTCAGTCCATTTCTCCTGCATTTCCCTAAGCCAGTGGACAGGTCTATCCGGGCCCCAATTTTGGCCTCTGTAAGCGAGGTAGAACGTACAGCATGCCGAGCATCAGGCCTACAAGCGTATGTAGTTTTGCCGTGACAATGTCTGCCTTTTTCAGGTGACAAGGGTTTGGCTCACCAACCCTGAGGAAATGCATTTAGGATGTGTGAATCTTAGCCAAGGCATGGGCTTCAACAGCTCCAGATCCATTGAATTACCACATTCAGAAGCATGAGTGCCCTACAGTTTCCTTGTATCTCGTAATTGTGATTCATCAGTCTTCCCATTTGGTGAGACAAATGAGGCGCTGTTGCTCTTGCCTGCATGCCTTAGTGGTATCAAGAGTCAAAGACATTGGGATCCCCTGGATTTTTTTCCTTGTCTTGATCATCCTATCCCTCATCAATCCCTTGAGGTTTCCTTGCATCTTTTATGATTACATCCTTGAAGAGGATATCCCTTTCCAGCTGGAATCTGCATACTATGATGCCCGGAAGAGCCCCAGTTCCAAGATGTGCCAAGCTCCTTCCACCAAGATTCATAAATCCATACAGGATCTCAATCATTCCATCACAGAGGCTGATCTTGAAGAAGACATGAAGAGGTTATTTGTGAGTCCTGGTGGAATAGGGAAGCCTCAACATTGCAAATCTCATTTTGATGTTGCAATCATCGTCCCGTATCGCAATCGTTCCGAACAACTCACATTGTTTTCCTATTATATTCATAGATTGTTAGTCACTCAGGAAATAGAGCATCACCTTTTTGTGGTGGAACAAGCCAATGAACAGCCCTTCAATAGGGCGAAACTTTTGAATGTTGGGTTCCAGGAAGCCAGCAAATTGAAGGATTTCCATTGCTTCATATTCCACGATGTGGATCTCATTCCATTGAATGAGGGCAACATCTACGCATGCACGCGCCGCCCGCGGCATATGTCTGTTTGCATTGACTCTATGAGGTACACACTTCCATACTGTCGCATTGTTGGGGGTGCAGTGGCCATCACGAAAAGACAGTTCCTCAAAATCAACGGGTTCTCAAACATCTATCAAGGATGGGGAGGAGAAGATGATGACTTTTATCGTCGTCTCACAGAGATTGGAAAATTTGATGTCATCAGGTACGATCCTGTGGTGTCGCAGTATGCCATGCTTTATCACCCAAGAGAGGAGAAAGGTGAAAATCGTTTCCAGTTCACTAAACCAAAGGATGACGGCCTGAAGACATTGGAATATGATGTGCTGGATATTTCTTTAAATCCTGCCTACACTAAAATCAAAGTGCAAATCTGAGTCTCTTCACATGAATCTTGAAAATATTTAGTTTACCACAGTGCTTATATTCACCTTGGCATTTCTGTTGTGATATGAGGACCATTTCATGAAGAAATTTGTTATGCTTTTAAGTATCTAGTCACTTCCTCATGAAAAATATTACAGAAAGTGTCAAAGAATGAAACATGAAAAAAAGCAAACAGGAATTTCATTTCACCTTTATTTAAATGCTTTCAACTAAAAAACTCAATCCTCAATGATGCCACTTTCCTAAATTAAGGGATGACAGCCAGTCAGTTTGCTCTAGAGTAATTCTACTGTTTGGGGCCACCACGTGTAGTTTCTTGCAGTGGGATTTTTCTGCAACATTCACAAGGACTTGATGCACATTTTCTGCAAGCTTGGAGTAATCCCTGGAAGTAGGGGACAGGTCATCTGGTTGAGCAAATTCTCGACACTGACAAGTGATCTGACCACTAAAATCATTCCCCAAAATTAAATGCACATCTCCAGGGCTTTCAATGGTGGCATCGTCCTCAAGTCCAACAATATGGACTGTAGATGACTGACAATCCAGATGTCCTCTCACTGACCCCAACAGGCCATCTACATGCAAAAAAATACACATTTATGTAGGGACCTGTAGCAACATGACTGACCAGTGGCAGGACAGAAGTTATGCCTTATATCCAATACTTCAACTCACTTGCTATAAAACTGTAGAATTTAGATTTTCTATTTGCTAGAGGACTGGTGTAATGCCAGCTTCCTATCTATACTCATTAGGATTTGTTGTAGCTCAAGGCTCTAAAGAAGTCTCTTCTTAATATCTCCCATTGAAGGTATTACTGTTACTGTCAATAGCTGCTGACTAGTTGAAGTACAAAGGAATGGAAAGTATTTTTTTGTGTCCACTTTATCATCCTCATCTTACATCTTAACATTTGAATAGCATGATACACTTCTGATGCTTAGATAAATGAAAAAATGGTCAAGTGTAAAATGCATTAATATCACTAGCTCACAATGACTTCACAAGAGAGTATTTCCAAAGATGACCAATGACCATAAAATTCCTTTAACAAAATGAGACTCCTCTTTTTCATGCAAGTGTTTAAAAACAATGGATGGAAATATGGTGTTCTTACCTTTCATGTTAGTATACTTGCACAAGGTGCCTGTCATATCAAGATGAAGCTAAGACGGTGACATAAATGCTTAAAGATTCTGTTGCACTCGTGCATACATTCTCAATGCCAACAAGATGCAGAGAAAAAACTTGAGATAGAAGGCTTAACTCACTGAGATGAACTAGCTTGGCCTTTGCTGCATGAATAGAAAACCTGCCATGCAGATTGGAGAGATTTAGCTGTCCACCATTGCAGACCACTTTTCCTTCCTGACAATACAGGGATTGGGAAAATATTCCTCCCTTCATACACCTGAGGTCCATTTTATCCCCTATCAACTTCTCAACTCGAATACTCTGGAAAGAAAAAGAAGTAGGTCTTCCACATCCTAAATTTCCCCCGTCAATAACCGAGAATACCACGACTCACTAACACCCTTAGATCCAGTGTGAAGAAGAAAATTGCCTTCAACATGTCCACCACAATGGATGTTTCCAGATTCACTGATAAGATTGCATTGGAGGCACTTTATGTCCTGAATCATGATATCACCAGATGATGATTCCACCCTCACCGTTTGGGGCTCCAGAGAGGAAACCATGACTGAACTTCCATCTTCAGCTTTTCCAAGCACATCTGAATGCAAAAAATTTCCTATCCCAGTTGAAATATACTAGGATAATGTATCTGCGTGAATGTTATGTTTCGTCCACCACATTATTTTAACTGATACACCTATGAAAAGATTTCATTCATATACCAAAGAATGAACTTAATAATTTTTTTAAAGCCTCAAAAGTCTGCAGATCTCATTCAGCTGGTAGAGGTTGTCTATAATGGTTCATTAGAGCCAATTTTAATAACCAAGAAAAAAAAACTATTAAATTTCTTTCCATATTTTCCTTCTCTCATGTAAGTCATATTTATTAAGAATGGCTCTCTGTTGTGGTAACAAGAAATCTTATTCAATAGTTCAGCATTATGAAGTTAGGAAAGCACTGACCATATTTGATGGGAATGAAGAGAGATAGCGATTGACAAGATCTTTTTCTTTCTCGCAAGATGACTCGACCATCCTCCAATTGAAACATTAATGTGTCATCAACTGGCTCTGGCCCTGTTCCAGAAAGAATGGCTTTATCCATGGACATGTATTTCCTTGGTGGGAGACATTTCACCTCCAGATTTGTATCGTGATTAGTTTCAAAATCAAGGCATCCAAAGACTGGGACCTGGAGCTCTTTCTGCCAAGTTTGTACTTCCCTTTTTTCTATGAAACACCATCTTCTCTTTGGTCTCATTTTTAGTCTTGAATCACAACACTGATTCAACAATGTTCTTCCAAACCACATCCATCTCCTCATCAACAGCCCCATACCTATCAAGTGTAACAATGTATTTCTGAATAAGCATATCATCAATATTTTATCACATAGGCAACATTATATCACACCATAATAACAAGGAAAATATAGGAATAATGGCAGATACTGAATGCAAGGATTAAGCTTTGGATAAATGAGCAGAAAGTGTTTCATTTCTGTGGCACTCTGTCTGGAAATCCTTGACAGTCTTGAAATACAAGCGCTGGATTTCAGTGATCTTCTGGATGGCAGCCTGAAGGCTCTCCTTCTTTTTAACAAGATTAACCTTCTTCTCATCCACTTTCATCTTGTTTCCCTTGATTCCAGACACAATGGACTCAAACTGAGCCAGGAACTCTTGCTTTGCTTCAGGGGTTGACATAGCTTCATTGAAGTTGTCAATCACAGAATCTATCAGCTTCACCTCCTTCTCCAGATATAGCTTTGTATCACACAAAGAATTGTGAAGAGTATAGAAATGTTTGGTTTCTTTATGTTTTGCTGCCCCAATATGATACAATTCCAAGAATCTCTTCTGGTACTGAAGGAGTTCTGCTTGGAGAGGGACATCATCTAGTTGGCGTTGAAGCGAAGCCACTACATGACTCTTTTCAGCCACTTCCAGCCTCAGCTTCTTCACTTTTTCCTTTTGAGCATTTAGAGCTTCCTCAATTTCTGTCCCTTCCTCTACAGGCACTTCAAATGTCTCCAGCTCTCTGATCTCTTTCTGTAGGGCCTCCAGTTCCTCCTTACAAGATATGCGAAACTCTTTTTCTTCCTTTTGGAGTTCTTCATGTCGCTGGACCATTCTTTTCAGGGAATGGATGTCTCCATCATTTGCTGTATCTAATTGAGACTTGAGTTGCTTGAGCTCATCACTCAACACTTCAGCTTCATTTGTTGCAGCCTCATATTTAGCTTTTAGTTCCTTCAACTTTTCTTTCACCTTTATTTTGGCTTCCTCCAGCTCATGGCAACGTACCTGAAGTAGTTCTACTTGCTTTCTTAGGTTGCTCTTAAACTGTGGTAAGCCTATCTGATCTTTCCCTTGTTCCTGAAACTGGATATATTCAGTAGCAGCCTGGACCATAGCATCAGCACTCATGGAAATGATCTTCCCAAGTGTTGATGTGCTCATTTTTTGAAAGGATGCATATTCAAGTTCAGAACTCATGATGCCCTCAGAAGGCATGTCCACTGTCTTGTCCCCTTCAGCCTCGCCTGTTGATGCCATAATCGAGCGAGATCCATACTCCATGAGAGTGGACATGACTCGAACTGCTTCATTTACATCTGGACCAAAAGGAGTCTTCCTCCTATGAGTTCTCACCGGTCGATTTTGCACTCTGATTTGAGCCAGGTTGTCGAAATGAGCTGCTTCTCTCTCTCTCTTGGTCAAATCACTCGGAAGCTGAACATGTTTCTCAAACTGGTGGAGAGAGAAGCTGCGATTCTCATCCTCCATTTCCCGACGCTGTTCAACGGCCCTCTTGACCAGCCATTGTATGACAGGAAAGATACTGATGGTGTCAAGGCCTTCAATCTGATGAGGCTCAATCCTGTGGGGGCATTCCATCTTCAGCAGAACCCTTACTATCTTCTCTGTCAGAGTGATCTTCTGTCCAAGGGAGAGGGTATCGCTATAGAACAGGTCGATGTCAATGTCGAAGCTGCACGTCTCGATGCACCAAGTCATGCCACCAATGATTTTATCAAACGGAGAGAGTCCCTTGATGCGAGCACGGAAATACCCAGCAGCAACTAGAAGTTCCACAATCTCCTCAAATTTTTCCTTCTCTTCTTGGCCAGCAAATTGAGCATCCACAGAACCCATGACTTGCTCTAACACATCAACCAGTTTCTATTATTGAAAACCTGTAATTAACAATCATACAAAGAGCAGAATATAACTGACTAGAGCAGCACATACCCATTCAGAGTCTAAAATGAGACTAATAATGACATTCTCTCAGAGTCTTGCAGGACTTATCTATTTTCAGTAATTGATCCAAGCAATGACAGAACATGCTGTAATAATATGAATTCTCCAATTATGTACTGGCTCAAATAAATTTTCATTAACTCCTGAAGTTTTCCCAGTAAATAGGAGTCAATAGCATATCATAGAATTTGAAATAGTGACTATTAAAGTCCTCCAGAGCTAGCAGAAAATTAACGCATTAGGCCTAGGCATATAATTAATTCTTTGACAGGGTGAGCAACATGGAAGGCAACATTGAACTATTGGACATCATTGACAGGATGCCAACAACTGAAGTTCCAATAATTTGTCTTCCTCGGGTTAGCATCGAGATGCCAGGTTAGCTTCATTGGCAAAACACCTCAGAATAATGTTGACAGCAGGACTAAGGATAGAGTACCGTAGTGGACTAATGCCGGGCTATTCTACCCCATATATCCGCGAACAATTTACCCATTCTTTAAGGAAAATTTTCAATATATTGCTTTCAGGTAGAACCGGTTGACTTACGAACGCAATCTGCTCCTACCTGTCGGCATTTCATTCTAGACCTACGCCGAAAACGAAAATGATTTGGAGCACGTGCGAAAAGACGGAAGGGAGCAGCCATGGTGGGATATAGGGAATTCGACGATGGCGTCTCGCAAGGTCACGCGGCTTCCACGAGTCCCAGAAGAATCGGTGGCGTACGATGTGTTTTATCGCCTGTCTAGCGAGGAAGCCTCTTCGTCTGATCCTCCTCATCAAGAAATAATATCCACTCTTGTCTCTAATGTTGCGCACCATCTCCTGGCGTACATCTGGCACAAGGAGCCATTCTCTCTTCGACCCCATCCGTCCACACCTTACGTCGGTGAGGCAATAGAAATTCTCAAACGGTAGCAATTGACAACAGAACTGTATCACAGTGTCCATTGACGTACTGGTAATTGCCACTTGTGGGTAAGGTACAACTATATTATTAGGGGCAGTGGATTTTTTTGTGCTGATGTTGGCATTTGATTTTTGCAGACGAGGAAGATGGAAACCCACCGGCATGGGCATGGCTGATAGGTGAGACCTCCTTTGGAGAAAACGTGGAAGATGAATGGTTCATCGTCTGGCTCCTCCTTCAGCTCACAGAGGCCTTTTCCCCTGATCTCATCGCAAGGTGAGCGCTCGAGTTGTGACAAACTTGAACGCAGTTAGGTTGTGACATGGATTTAAATTACACAGGCGATTATGAGATTGTTTGAGTATTTAGCAGCTGTTTGCCTGGGCTTCAGTTTGAAATGATATTAAGTTTGCATCAGATTAGATCAAGATATGGCTGGGTCATGTGGCCAAGTCATTTGGGCTTCCAAGTCAAACCCAGAGGGTCGAGCACATGGGTGCCAAACACATGGGGCAAAGGGACATGTGCCCCCCAACAATGTTATTGAAGGGGCAATGCCCCCAGAGAATGGCTTAAGTACAACAAAAGTATGGCACATGGAAAACAGCAAACAAAATGCTGTTTCATGAAAGATATGAAAAATATGATTATCCTATCTGTTTAGAGCTCCAGCTGAGAGATCCCTGCCACCACGTAAGGGTATTGGGTGAAGGCAAGGGCCTTGTCTCTCTGCATGCCCAGCACCCCACCACTTGTAAGCAGCTACCATAATAAAATTGAGCAACCCCACAGGATCCAGGAACGATTCCATCAATGTTATTGCAGGAGCATTAAGACCTTGCCCCCCCCCCCCCAATATTTTTTAGAAATCTGTGCTTATGGTCAAGCATATAGTTTGGGTGGCAGTGGGCTCTTCAGGCAACCCACCTGCTTCCTAAGGACTCTCTTCATAGCATAGGGAATAACACATGGCATTACATATCTACATCTGTTAACCACAGTGTGATATGATTTCTGCTGATTTTTCTTTGCCCAATTTGCAATAGAAAGCGTTTATTACAAAGGCATCCTCCCCTGGTACATTGAGCACACCTATTCAACGATTGTATGTGGCTATGGGTTTGCTTCTTTGAACTGAACAAAGATTTTATTTCTATTGGTGCCAAATCTGATTTGATGGGATGTTATGCAACCATCATTCTCCCGAAGGGATTCTAAGACCTAGTTATGCTTGAACTGGCAATTTCCATGTAGGAATTATTCAAATGGAACAGGATTGTCAATATCTAGGATTGCTCAGATAACTTATTCATGCTTCACCTCATGGTGAATCTTTTAACAGGAACTCAGTGCAATTGCTTCTTCAATAAAACAAGAAAACCAGATTGGAGTGGCTTCATCCATCAGATGATGCATCAAGCAGTGGCCTCTAAGCGCATTAATTAGTCTGGTTGCAGGATGGGTCTTCGTGCAACAATGACAGTAATATGCAGCCCAGAGACTGAAAGCTGAGATGAAATGAGCACAAAGGAGCACCAATCAGCTGAAAAAGTTTACAGTTTGGAGAAAGAATGATGCTAGCCTGCAAGGAAAAGGCCTGAAAGTAAGCCTTTTCCTTGTAGGCTGCTGCATCAACCTAGACCATGCATTCATTTGCTATTTATAATTGTAATTGAGACACAGTTTGACACAATCTCAGACCTTTTGATGTTTATTTTCATTTTATTTATAGGATGTGTGTACAAGTCACACTGATTCTTAGGACACCTATCATCAGTGTGATAAGTACATATTCTGGCTGCAAATTGATTTTAGAATATGATCCAGTCAATCTTAGGCGATTTAATTCATTGATCAAATTTTAATTGAGCCCCTAGGTCTTTTCTTCACTGAGGTGAAGAAAGAGGTGCTGATAAATAATGCAGGTTTGTTTCATTTATTTTAACCATAAATGGAGAGAGATGATGTTTTATTTTTTTGCCTTTTTTATTTACAAATTTCAGTTCAAAAGCAATTTTAGCCTTCTATTAGACCTTATTTATTGGCTTTCAATCGCAAATTATTCCTTTCTGTTCTTTTGCAATTTCCTCTGAAAAAAAAATTGTTACAATTAGTGGGAGGTGGTTCCAGGAGCAAATTACATTTTTATTATTAATTTCTCTTGGTTATTTAAGAGAAATTAGTGAGGGAAATGATTTCTCATATGATAAATTGGTTGCTTCTAATTGAATTGGTGGCCCTGGTCAATATTGACAGGAAACAGAGATCCCTTATGAATACAAAGTAAACACTCTTCTCTTTGCCCTCCTCTGACCTCATTCAAGTCCTTCATGACTTTTTCCTCATTCTTCCAACAAAGGCCTCCCTTGTCAGACTATGGATCGACATGACAGGTATAAATTTTTCGGCTCATTGTCGAGTCATTCGAGCATCGGCCAAGAGACCTTTGTTCCTCTGTGATCTCAGGCAATTTTTGCTGCAAATTTGTTTTGTGGACATTCATCTGAGCAAGTCTGTGCAAATTCCTTGGCTGGTGGCAGATCCACTGTCAGTGGGTTTAAGGATGCTTAATTTGCATTTTAAAACTTTTTGAACTCAGAAATTCTTTATTTTTGGATGATGCAAGACGGTACCAAGTTTCCTTTCTAATTCAGTGAAGGGAAATGTTGAACAAATAAGCCTTAAAATTACAAATACATGACTATTGATTTAAAATCAACTATATTTTGTAATGTCGCTTGATTTACATCAGCCTGGTTTATGATTCAGCTTACCCTGTGTCAAAGTTGATCCAGAAGCAGAAATTTTCAGCATTTTACTCAAAGTCTTCACTATAGTTTTCTACAAGTTTGAATGATTTAAAAAAATTTTATTTTAGTGTGTCGTCATCATATCCGTTATTACTGTCCCCGCAATCCGTAAAAAGCTCTCTGTCGATCGGGGCAATCACAATCAATCAAGGACGATGAAATATCTTTAGTTTCTCTCAAAATGAAAACTCTGGTGTAGATGTCCTCCGCTAGATGTCTCGCCAGGGAATTCCCCTTTCATCCGTCAGTCGAGCGGAACGCCCGGACCAGGAAGCTGCGTCGAGGCCTAAGTCTAGGCGTCTAGGCCTCGGGTGGAGGCGAGGGACCAAAGCGGGGAATGGGGTCGCGACGAATCCTTATCTGGCTGGGTTTTTTTATGCAATTTTTTTCGGTGGGGAAAGTATTCATGTCACGCGATATACAAAGCATCCCCCACTTTTGAATATTTTATGAATACGGCAGCTGCAATCGGATAACGAATTGGTTGCCATGGTTACGATTGGGTTGATGTCTGGGTGGATCCCCTGCTCCAGGGCAACTGCCGAATGGAACGGATGCATAGGCGTGAAGTAATCGAAACTGGTTTCAATCCGAGTGCCCGAGAGGAAATGGTGTGGGCGAAAGGGCCAAAGGAAAAGAGATTAATTGTAGGCCTTATAAGTTGGAAGCATTCGAAGAGGGAGTTCCTTATCTGGGTCATCCTCGATCCCATTCGAAAGGGGTTCGAGGAAGCGGTGGAATGGGGGGAAACGACGGGAAGGGCCTTGGCCCACTTCGATCACGGTCCCCCGTCCCCGTCCCCCTCACCTCGTGTGTGTCCCCAGGCTAGCGTCATTAAAGTCCATTGTTTCTGTCGTTAACCTTCACACGCGAAAAAGGTGTGTGGTGGGGGGAGGCTCGCGGTGGTTCCTCGGGTCTGGCCTTTCCGTGGCCCCACCGTCGGCACGCATTTCCGTCCTTCCGTGTGGAGGTTGTCTTTGTGGGAGAAGGAAGTGGTGGTGGGGTGATTAATCGAGTGGTTTTTGCCACCGGTTTATGGATGGGAATCCGTGGGCTCCTTTTCTAATAAGAAGATGAATTTCGCCCGGAGACGCTATCATCTGCGTGATTTTGGCAATCAGGAAGGAATGCCATTTCGTCCCTTCTGATTTATAAGGTCCGGAAAACAATGGGATTACGAGGCGCCTCATTCGTTTTCTCTATGGGGAGGCCCCGCTGCACGGACGGCAGCAATCCTTTCTGTCGCCGAGGTCGTTATCGAGGGAATTGATCGCGGGGAAACGAATAGCGGTGGCTGGTTGAATGATAATCGTGCGGTAGAATGCTGTTGTTACGTTAATGGCTCATTAATATGCGGTGCTTAACGATTGTTCTTAAATATCACGCATTCGTTGCGGAACGAAGAGATGTGATTGTTCCGGTCGGAACCGCACGACCATCCCCGGGGGAGACGGCCTTTGTGGCCGGTGGGGGCCTTGAGAAGGGGCTGGGAAGCCAGGCGACCGGAGTTCCGACGTTGCGTCACGTCGGCCTCTACGGTCGGCGTGGGCCCCGTCAGGAGGCAGTGTGATGGGTTCGTCTGTGCCGTTCGGTCGTGACCGAGGTTTGCGTTGGACATAGGGTGCGTGACTCGGACGGGGAGTTTCTGCTGGTGGAGGCGGCGGAGCATCTGCCGGAGTGGTTGGATCCGAATTCGGCGAGGAATCGGGTGAGTGGGGTGCCGTTTCGGGTCGTACGGATTTGGATCTGGGGTGATTGTTTTTTTTTTTTTGGTCAGGTGTTCTTGCACGGAGGGGGGTTGCACGTGATCGGAGCGGGGAGAGATCCGGGGTGGGTGAGCCCGATCCCGAGCGGGGTGCCGTCGCTGTCGGATGCGCTGCATCTCGTGAGACGCCTGCCGCATTTGACGCGTGCTCCGTCGCCCGTGCAGCGTGACGTTCGGGGGAGGATCCGGGGGTGAGTGAGGTCGGGAGGGCGGAGGGGAAGGTGGAGGGGGTTTTCAAGCGGTGGAGGTTTTTTCCTTTAGGTATCCGGGGAGGATGGAGGAGTCGGTGCATCGGGTCAACGTGAGGGTTCCGGTGGTGTTGGCGGGGATGTTGGAGAGGGAGCCGTGGCTCGTGTCCCCTGCGGTGCATGCGTTTCATCATCGGGATCCGATCGACGTTAAGGTCTGTCTCGATTGCGCTTTCGAGTTTTTTTTTTTTTTGAATGGTGGATTTAACCGGTTGGGATTTTGCGAAGGCGTTGAGGGCGATGAAGTTCTTCCCGCCGGAGACGTGCGTGACGACGCGCGTGACGTTCACGCGATGCCTCTACGCCATGCTGAGCTCGGGGAAGTACGAGCCGGATCACCGGACGGGGTGGAAATTCCCGCTTCCTCCTAGTTCCGCCGAGTACAAGTCCGCCGTGCTCGGCATGAAATTGGTATGCGGTGCAGTAATGTGCTGAGCTATGTGTAGGATACGCTGTAACTGGTTATACTGGTTAAATCATATTGGAAGTCACGGAATGGATTATGTAAAAGCTATACCGTGTCAGTCTCGTCTGCTTTTCTGTAGCTCCTCTATCCAGACGTTTCGAAGTTAGATCTTTTTCTTCTTTTATTTTGATCGTAGGCCTGCGGATTCGAGATCCTGGCCGTGGAAGCGGAGAGGGCGAGCAAGAGCGAAAGCAATGGCGTTGCTTCCGCATCTCTGGATGACGATCCCAAGTGGAAGGAATTCCTCAAAAGCCTCGAGGACAAGGGTTATTTTCAGGTGGGTTCAGGCGACGGATGTGGAAGGGGGGGGGGCAAAAGAGGGATTTTAATTTTGAGAGACGTCTTGCTATGCAGGGAGAGGTGGAAGGATCTCAGAAGCAGAAGGCGTTGATGTCGAGCGCCAGGGAATATTATCAGCGTCACGTGAGGGATTGCGACGTCGAAAGTTCTCGGGGCGACTTCAGGCGTCGGGCCGGGAAGAGGATATTGGAGCTGTGTCGCTCCAAGTCCCTGGACGTGGATCTGGAGGAAGCCGAGAGACGGGCCCAGAGTCTGCCTCCTTCGGACGGTGAGTTCTGTCGGTTCCCGTCGCGAGGGGTGTGCGGGATGCAGTCGAGATGATGGGGTTTTCGAGCAGACGATTCCTGGCTGGATTTGACCCCGGAGTCGTTGGAGGCGTTGCTGCTTCGCCTCCGTCCCGAGGACCCCGAGATCGCGGATAGCCTTCGTCTCTTCCTCGATCGGTCGTCGTCGTTCGAAGGCGTCGACCTGCCGAAGTGAGTCTTTTGCTTCCTCTGTCCGTCGAAGAACGGTGGGATGTGGATTTTTAAATTGAAATTTGGGTTTTCAGGAGTGAGAGCAGAGGGGGATCGCGGAAGACGTCGAGGAACGAGCGGCGGAAGAAGTCCTCGACGGCGTCGTGGGACCGGAAGATCTCTACCGCGTCCACTCTCTCCAATCTCTCGGACCGGATCGCCTTCGATCCCGAGAAAATGAACGCGGCTCTCAGCCATTTCTTAGGTCTTTTCCCTCGTCCTTCGCCGCGCCTCATCGAAGGTCTCCTCGGGGCAGAAATGAGCACGGTATGGTAATTTGCAGACCTGGACTTGGGGAACGAGGAGGAGACGAGCGGGTCGGAGGACAGCGACATGAGCGGCCTCATGTCGGAGGAGGAGGAGGAGGAATGCCCCATTCCGTCGTCCGTGTTGGAGGGAATCCCGGAGACGGATGCGGACATCGATGCGTCTCTCCTCAAGTCCGTGGTGGACGAAGCGGGATATCCTGGGCCGGGTGCCAGTGTGCTTGCGTCGCTCAGAAGATTTCCCAACCCTTCTGTGATGTAACTTCGTCGCGCCGTCGATGCTATGCTCTTTCTTCCTTTTCCTGGAAGTTCAATTTTTGAGGCTGCTCTCTTTTTCATAAAACATTTTTTCCCCTGTTCATTTTTTGTTGTTTAAAGAGATGAGATCCCAAAGAAAGATGCATGAAGATCCATGAAAATTTGAGGGAAAATGCCCTTGACAGAAAAATTTATTTTTACTGCTGTGACTGGAACAAATTGTGAGAATTTGCACTGATGAAAGGTGGGCGACAGGAAATATTAAGCAGCTGTAAAATATATGCACTTTTTGATATATTTTTTGGATTCAAGCAAAAAACGACCACATGATGATAGAGACCACAAAGCCACAATACGTTGGCTCATGATACTGCTTTATATTTCCAGGTGCGCTCATGGACGAATGCGAACGACATCATCCTCTGCACAATTGAAGGACATCTGCTGGCAGTGGCACGGATCCATGGGTAATGGCCACGCCGACGAAACCTTGGACGATATTCAAAGTGATTTCCTAGAAAGGATCCAGGAACCTGCACCTGCAAAGGTGAATCTCATCAACTGAGAGATGAGATTCACCGCTTGAAACTGGAGTGCTCAAAACAGGAAACATTCCCAAAAATAATTTGAACCCATTCATAATGTAAACACATCTCATTTATGATTGTCCAAATATAATATCAAAAAGGATTTCCAAAATTCGGAGAGGATGAGACTTTTCGGTGCAGGTTTTTGGTCTGCCGGAAATGATACTCGAGAAAGGGTGATTTGAACCTTTCTTGGGTATCGTCTTGAGCATCGTTTCAAGTTTTGTTGGTATGGCCTTTCTCACTGACTCATGCCAGCAGAGGTTCTTCGAGTGCATAGGGGTCGATGTCGCTCGTGATCATCTTCGACTGCACCCGGGAACACGAACTGTGTAGAGTGCAGGCATATGGGCTTTTTCTGGCCATTCTGTGCATTTTTTTGGCAATGGAAGAGGGAATAATCTTAAAGGCAATATGCATTTCTTCAAGCGGGAAAGGACTTGCCAATGGCTCAATGTTCCCTTTTTGGACTGGAAATTGTTACCCAACAAAATAAATTGTTTCACCACATCTGTCTGTGCTATTTGCTCCTGAAGATTTGGCAAAAGTTTTTTTTGCTCTGCCAAGAGCTTGATGAAATAGCAAATAGCTCATTGGACATAGCAATATAGAAATTGGAAGTTCTGCATCACTTTCAAATTGCACGCAGATTTCCTCTCATTTGCATATGCTCCAAGTTGCGAAGTTCCCTCGAGGCATCGTTCCCGGCACTCATCGGTCTGCCCATCTGCCATTAACGATAATTGCGTTCAGAAGGCGTATCAAATCTGAGGAAGGGCAAAATTCTTTTTTTTTTATGCCAGCTTCAGGCCACGCGTGCCTTGTACTGCTTTTCGCTCGGCTCGGACGGCCGGATGTGCCGGATGGCATCGCCGAGAGTCATGCGGTAAATACCAGCCAAAAAAAAATTGTTCGGAACTGCTCTACTTAACTGCTGAGAAAATTGTTGAAAACTACTTGATGTTTCAAATGTTTCAGACGGAGAATTCCCTCTTGAATTAAGCACACTCGTGCAATAAAAATTTGCAGCATGATGTCATGAGAAGAATTCACTTGTTAGTTCCACCGATGGTCGATCGCTTCTCACTCCCCCCTGCCGTAAATTTTAATTCCTGCAGAATTTTGTCGGAACCATGAACTGGGAAAGTGACCGAGACGGGTTTGCATTGCTCCTGGAGAAAATCCATCCGCCGTTATTCGGGGGCGCACGAGAAGAGAATTTGGAGGGGGAAAAGAGGACGGAAGTTTATCAGTTGAAGTATGGTAATAAATAATGAATAAATAAATAAAGGAAAATTATACTTAATCTTGGTCCCCATTCTACTTCTGCTCCCGGCACCCACACTCCACATATCGACGAAGGGTTGGCATCAGCGAAAAGAGGAGTTGAGATGCATGTGCACGAACTGTAACTTTTTACAATTAAAAAAATCATCGCCCTTGCACCGAAGGTGGCCTTATCTAAGGCTGAGAAAAGGCCAGGATTCCCCTAGATTTGTGCATGACTAAGCTTCTAGGAATGGAAATGGCAGATGCACGCAGAGAAGGGAGCTATTGCCGAAGAGGATATCGTCTCAATGTGACTCGAAAGGAAGAAAGGCGAAGAATGTACGAGAAAAGTCTCGAACTGCGACACGGCATCCATAGAAGTCGCGATCTGATTGGTCGCTGTGTCATAGAGACCTTCTCCTTCGAGATTCCTCTGCGTCCCGCGGGCGCGTCGTGCAATGTCATCTGATGAGTTGCGGGAACTTGCGGGGTTCCGTGATGACCGCGAATGCGCAGCTCTAGGCAACGTGCGCGCATGGTTCCCATTCTCCATGCTGTCATGATGGAATTTTCTAGAACGTCTGACCTCAGAAACTGGTCTGGAACGATCTAGAAACTAGGATTCCCCCTATAAAATCGGCGAGCAGTTTCACTTCGCACACACGAATTCCAGAAGAGCTCTGACGTCGTGAGCTGTTGACGGAAACATAGCCTACCGATTCCAAGTGAATCCTTCGCTGTAATCCTTCTCGCCTGCAACCGGATTCAATACTTTCAGTAAGTGTGATTGTAATCTCAATGTAGGAGGGCAAAAACCGTTGCAGAGTCGTCTCTCGAGTTGTTCAGTGACACTTACGAAATAATACCTTTCATAGGCTATGGCAATGTTTCCTTGGGGAGTGAGGCCTCGACGCGACTTGTGGGGAGAAATGGATCCCGTCACTCGCCTCTTCGATCAACATTTCGGCATGGGCCTGCTGAACGACGATCTCCTGGCCCCACCCACCTATCACCCCTTCTACATCATCGCCAGGCGACCGAATCGCGACCGAGTCAAGTCGGGCGTGAGCGAGGTGGTCAATGACAAGGACAAGTTTCAGGTAGGTCCAGGTTTCGTATGTCCCAACTTCATATTAGGGTTGTCGAATACCTAGAATTGGTATTGACGGTGAGACTTCGTCGATTGGTGGGTATAACGTATCCGTTAATCATGTCGATGGTGATGGGAATGAGACTTGATGATACAGGAGGTACTAAGGGATTCCATCTGTATTGCAGGTGAACCTGGACGTGCAGCAGTTCGCCCCGGAGGAGATCAGCGTAAAAACTGTGGAGAACTTCGTGGTGATCGAGGCAAAGCACGAGGAGAAGCGAGACGAGCACGGATTCATCTCCCGCCACTTCCAGCGACGATACCTCCTTCCCGAGAATGTCCGGCCGGAGAGCATCCAGTCCTCCCTCTCCTCCGATGGAGTTCTTACCGTTACCGCTCCCAAAATGGTTAGTTTATTATTACAGCATTATATTTGTAGCATTGGAATCTTTTGGTTTCTAATCTTCCTTTCCTGGCTAAGTTTAATCCTGAATTAAATTTTTTTTTTTACGGACTTGCTTGTTTTACTTCATAGGTAGACTTTTCCTTTTTGATTGGGTTTAATTCGTAATTGCGATAAATTCTGAATGCATTAACAGGCCATTGAAGGTGCCCCGAACGAGAGGAATGTTCCCATCGTCCAGACCAACCAGCCGGCTATGGTCAAAGGCGAAGAGAACCAGAAGGAGTGAAGGAGGATTCTGAGTTTCTACCCGGGTTCTCGGGAATACCCGGGTATTCTGAGTTTCGGCTCCTGAACGTTACCGGGCATTATGGACCATTCAACCACTTTATGGGTTTTAGTATGTGTCGGGAGTGATTCACGACTCTTGATCTCTCCTTGGTCTTACGTGCTGTTTTTGTGTATTTGTGTATATATTTGTGTGTTCCTTTTGTTGGTTTTCCCTCCCAGTATCCAATAAAATATTTGCATAGACAATGCCGTTTCATTTCATGTTTGGGGCATCGCATCAACTTGGCATCGCAGACCAACACATATCACGGTCCGGTAAGGAGCGTGGACATCTGCAAGATAACGGCAAAAGATGAATCGAACTGACGTTTCGAAGACTCTCGAAACTCACACGATGGCGGTCCCGCTTCCTACCTTTAGGCAAATGTATGACATCGGCATCGCCATTGCCAAGGAGACTCCCTGTTGAATACGTATGAAAGAACTCCAGGAAGGACGCAGAAGGGTGAATTCGAATTCATCAAGAATACTGTCAATATCTAACATTGGGGACTGATAAATCCGCTTCCCTCAACACGTCCCGGGGAGAGTTAGCTCCATGAATGCTCTGGAAAATCACTTCCTCTGATTTGTCGTTACCTCACTGTCATCTATCAATTTGTATACCTGGTAGAACGAAATGGCTACAGGATGACCACAACCGTATAGTGTGCACCTTCTTTCATAAGCCTGTCATGATTCACCACCGCGATGGATGGTGTCAGGACCTGAAGGCATGACCCGACAGAGCAAGTGGGAAAAACCCGAATCCAGTTAGCTCGTCTAGAGCCTTGTCCAAGTGCGTTCCTCCTCGAGTGACGAGTCGTGCACGCATTAATCTCTTCCACGAACCGAACCGGGAATGGTCTTGTAGCCAGAGCGCCCTGGCGTCGTTCGTGAGGTTGGACTCTGATTCCCCAAAATTCGGAGTGCATGGGGAAATAACGTTGCAAAGTAACGGATGCATTGACATCTAATTATTTTCCACATTTTTTGATTCAATACGCTGGAATCAGATGTTGCGTACCTCAGCGGTTGCGCGGTATCCAGAATCTCATATCGCAAAAAAATTACGTATTGTAACAATGAAGTATCTTCTGACCCATTTCTTGCGTCAACAAGAAAGCCGAGCATGTAAGGACTGAGCAAAGAAAAAGAACTGGAGATGGCGCGCCCATAGGAGTAGTATGGGGAAAACGTCTACATTTTTCAGCCATATTGGTTGGGACCAGGCTAAAGCGGGCCTGCGGTGCGCATTGGCGGAGTGATGGATCAAGCACCGCGGGAACATCGGAGCGGCCCGACTGTATACGGAAGCATGCCCTGCCAATACCCGCCAACACCTCTATCATGCACCTCGTGGTCGCCCTGCATCTCCTTTAGCCTATGTTTACCTTTAGCCTCTGAAAGTTCATTCGAAGTTCGTTAGGCTTTATGCCTTAGACTTGCTATAAAATATGTCGACTGTGATGATGCAAGGGCGGCGTAACGTTATCGCCTTCGTAGGCCCAGCAATCTCAGCAAAGGCAGGCCTGGAACTTAGAGGCCCACTCGAGAAATTGGAGACTCGCCCACATGAAAGAAGAATTCCGACGTGACGTTATCAGCCCTATGATACTTCCCCAGAATCATTAGGCCTCCAGCACCACGACTTGCCTGCCTGTTCACGACAGCAAGAAAACTGGGATGGGAAATTATGAAATTGCAGCAAATCCATTCTATTGTGCGCCATCTCCAGTTCTTTTTCTCAGCTCAGTGGCAAGAACAAAAGAGTGAGATATTATGACAGAGCCTTGCCAAGGGGGCTGCGAGCGATGCGCCTGTACTGGGCGCCGATTGGCTGCCAAATCGCTACAAAATAATAAAATAAAATAAACAAATTACCTTAAATTTAAGAAATTAAACATTGAAATTAATACGTAATTTACTGTTGGTGCTGAGGAAGCTGGAGAAGTATAGAGAGGGGGGATATCTCGCATAGGGCGCCAAGTATCTTAGTTACGGCTCTGGATATTAGTTGCACTTGAACGATATGGGAGCGATTACAGCGTCAGAATCAACGCAGAGAATGAGTAGACGAAGGTTTTTATTTAGGATGAAACGAAAAGGGGAAAGTTTGTTGGTCTATCAGGATGAGAAAATATATCAATCAGGATTTGCAAAAATAAAAGACTTTCCTCCCCTTGTTGCTTCCCCTGAAAGTTTAACCCTCCCTCCCTTTCACTTGCACAATATTTCCCGGCTGATTTTTTTTCCGAGTGTTTGAAAAAAAAAAAGGATTTTCTGCTTTCAGTGGGTTGGGAGAATAGATGACAGAATAGAAGAAATGCAGAGGAAAACGCGAGAACTTTCTGGAACGTGACAAAGCGCATGCCTGCGCCCGAGCAAGCAAAGCTTTGACTGGTCGCAGACCTGCGCTGCACGATAGAGACCTCCTAGGAGGATTACATGCGACCCGCGGGAACGATTATGCGATGTCTCTTACGTATCGCGGGAGCTTGCGGGTTTATATGCCTATGAACCGCGAAGGATGTCTGACTCCAAGCCTCGTTCCAACGTGTTTCCTGCAGAATTTTCTAGAGCGCCTGAACCCTGGACGCGCCTGGAACATGCCAGACAACTATATTCGCGCTATAAATTCCCGTTACGTGACGGTCTCACCATTGATAGTCGAGAAGTACTCTGAAGCAGTGAACAATTAACCTACTCTGAACCAGTGAACATCGCCTAGCCTATCGATTCCAAAGTGAATCATTCTCTACAACTTTCCCGCAACTGAATTCAAATCTATTGGTAAGTGCGTTCGTTATTAATGGTGAAGGACGAAATCCAATGTTGCCTTTCGTTGAATAGTTCAGTGCCAGTAACGGAACTGTTTCGTTTCATAGGCCATGGCAATGTTTCCTTGGGGAGTGAGGCCTCGACGTGACTTGTGGGGAGAAATGGATCCCGTCACTCGCCTCTTCGATCAACATTTCGGCATGGGCCTGCTGAACGACGACCTCCTGGCCCCACCCACCTATCACCCCTTCTACATCATCGCCAGGCGACCGAATCGCGACCGAGTCAAGTCAGGCGTGAGCGAGGTGGTCAATGACAAGGATAAGTTTCAGGTTGGTTCAGGTTTCGCATATCCCTATTCCTCCTTGTCTTCTGTTGTCTCTTAGTTGTCTTTTATATACTTGGAATTGGTTTTGAAGGCACATTGAGAATTTGGATGTAATGTGTCCGTTAAAAATGGTTTATCTCGATTATGTCGAAGATGATGGGAATGGTCCTTGATACGAGGTACTGAGGGATTCCATCTGTATTGCAGGTGAACCTGGACGTGCAGCAGTTCGCTCCGGAGGAGATCAGCGTGAAAACGGTGGAGAACTCGGTCGTGATCGAGGGGAAGCACGAGGAGAAGCGAGACGAGCACGGATTCATCTCTCGCCATTTCCAGCGACGATACCTCCTTCCAGATAATGTCCGGCCGGAGAGCATCCAGTCCTCCCTCTCCTCCGATGGGGTTCTCACCGTCACTGCGCCCAAAATGGTTGGTTTATTATTCTAATATATTTTCTCACTGTAGCGTCGGAAATTCATCCGGCGAATTTCGATGTTCGCTTAAACATGTTAGCTGCTTGTTTAGAGTTGCTTATTTTGTTGTTCATTGTTCAATCTATTTAGTTCCGTCATGGACTGACGGGGTAATCACGATAAATTCTTAATTTACGGACAGGCCATCGAAGGTGCCCCGAACGAGCGGAGTGTTCCCATCGTCCAGACCAACGAGCCGGCTATGATCAAAGGCGGAGAGAACCAGACCAAAGAGTGAAAAGGAGGATTCTGAATTTCTACCTCTTGGCATTCTTTTGTTTACCGGGCATTATGGACCATTCAACCTCTTCATGATCTTAGTGTGTCTAGAGTGATTTACTACGTTTGTTCAATGTCCTTGGTCTTACTTGCTGTAAAATTAAGGTGTGTTCCTTTTTATTGTGGGGTTTTCCATTCCAAGGTCCAATAAAATATTTATTTAGTAAATGCTGTTTCATGTGGGCCTTCGTGTTTAATTTGACAATGCGAGCTTCGTCATTTCACGATGATGTAGTATCGCGTGGACGTCTGTAAAATGAAGTAAAATGTAATATACAGTGGCATCCATGCAACTTTCGAAGCTCACAATGACAGTCTTGCCTCCTAAACACAGGCGATTCGGTGGCTTAATGGTATATCATAAGAATGTAGAACTGAATTTTTTTAAATAATACAGGTATATGACTCTCTTTGTAAAGACGCAACTTGCCATAATTTAACAGCATGAATGCAAGGAAAGTGCGAGAACTTCTTGTAGCGCAGAGACGCGCATGTCTGCAGTGGTTCCCAGCATGCAAGGCTTTCATTGGTTGGAGGACCTGTACTGTAGAAGAGAGACCTCCTCTGGGGGCACATATGCGGCTCGCGGGAAATATCATGCAAAGTTTTGTACATAAGGCAGGAGCTTGCGGGTATCCATGCTTATGAATCGCGGAGGGTGTGCACTCCGAACCACGTGCGCATTGCATCGTTTCCTTCTATCTCATTCCTGACGGAATTTTCTAGAATGTCTGAACTCTGAACGTGTCTGGAACATGCCAGACCACTTGATTCTCGCTGTCGATTTCCGCTAAGAGTCTCACTGTTAAAATTCAAGCAGTCATCCGAAATCGTGATAATTTTCTGGAAGTTTAGTCAACCAGTTCCCGAGTGCATCCTTCAGTGCATATTTCCATCGACCTTTATTCAAGTTCGTCAGTAAGTACAAGTGTCGCATACCTACTGTGGTAGACAAAAACAGTTGCAAAATCTGTTTGGACTCGTGTTACGGAATATACGCTATGGCATTGTTTCCTTGGAAAATGTGGGCTCGACGCCACTGGTGGGAAGAAATGGACCCTGTCACTCGCTTCTTCGATCAACATTTTGGTATAAACCAGAGGAACGACGACCTTCCGGTACTAGCCACCGATCACCCTTTCAACATCATTACTAGGCGACCGAATCGCGACCGGCTTAGATCGGACGTGAGCGAGGTTGTCAACGACAAGGACAAGTTTCAGGTAGATCTAGGTATACATGGTGTTTCTTTTATCTCTGGAAGATGCTAACTTTTAGAAACAATTCGCTCTTATAGTCATTGGAGAATAAGACTCAATGTATTTGTGTAGCGCAGTGGTGCACCACCTTTTCCCCGTAGAGGGGCAACATTTAGATGTCGTCTCAGGTTTGAGGGGTTCGAGGGCCTGTGGCCCTCGAACATGGGCTGAAATAGGTCGCACCTAAATATGGATCTTAGAGACCGGAGGCATCCAAGGGGCCCCAAAAAAGGTCTCTTGTGGGTCGCGGGTTGTGCATCACTGGTGTAGCGTGCCCATTAATAAAACAACACAAAAAAGAATTTCGACTGGGATACAAATTGATATTGTTAAAGATAATTGGTATAAATCCAAATGCAGGTAATATTGATGATTTTTTGCCTGTGCTGTAGGTGAACCTGGACGTGCAGCAGTTCGCCCCGGAGGAGATCAGCGTGAAAACGGTGGAGAACTTCGTGGTGATCGAGGCGAAGCACGAGGAGAAGCGAGACGAGCACGGATTCATCTCTCGCCACTTCCAGCGACGATACCTCCTTCCTGAGAATGTCCGGCCTGAGGACATTCAATCCTCCCTCTCCTACGATGGTGTTCTCACAGTCACTGCTCCCAAAATGGTTCGTTTTTCTGCATTCCGAAGTTCTCTTTCTGTAGATGCGGAAATCTGATTTATGAGCATGGCGTGCCAACAAATTATTCAATACAAATTATTCACTCGATTTCTAGTTTTTTTTTGTTATTGGTTTGTTTCCTTTACTGTTTTTTTTTTAGTGTCTTTGTCATACGTTATTATCATTGTAATTGTAGTACAGATTTAAAATCTTTGTGATTGACAAAGTTGGCTATGTTGACAGGCCATTGAAGGTACCCCTAAAGAGCGTATGGTGCCCATCACCAGACTAACGAGCAAGCTATGATCAAGGGCGGCAAGAAGAGCCAGAAAATAATTAAAACTAGGATTATCCTTTGCTTAAATTCTTCTTCAGCTTTCCTATTATGAGGAGAACCTGTCAGGGCATTTCAAACCATTCAAACTCTTCACCGTAGTGCTGTACGTGTGGAGTGTGATTCATTAGGTTTTTTTATTCAATGTTCTTGGTCCTATGTGTTGTGGAATATTATTTGAGATGTATTCCTTTTGTTATTGTGGGTTATTTCTCCCAGGGTCCAATGAAGTATTTACATTTCCACTATTATGAAATATTTTGACACTTTGAAGCATAAAAATAAAACACTTACGCAGTCAAAGCCGTTTTATTTCATCCCATCAGCCTAATGGCATTGCAGACATTGGCATTGTATGTCACCGTAACGTTGGAGAGTTGCAAAAGCCGAAAAAAAGAATTAGAATATATTGCCGGCTTTCGAAATCCTCCATACCAGTTCCGCGTTCCACCTTAAGGCAATCGGTGCTTTATTGTCGTGCTAATAGGAATCGAATGTTTCAACATTTGTGCCTCCTAATTCTACACCCTTTTTCTACTATGTATATGAATCATGAAAACCACCCAAGCAGCATGTTCACGTAAACAAGATATCAATTTTTTGCAAACAATGTAAATTTCTTGCGATTGCCATGAAAATGACATCACGTTTACGTAAAATTTACGTTCCTATATTTACGTCACCAAAGTATACGTGTATTTTACATCAACTAGACGTCACTCCATCTGACGTGAAGTACATGATATCAAGTTTATGAAAAATTAACACCACACCATCCATGAGACTTTAGCTGACCATCCTGCAGTTGCAGTACCAAGATTCCTCATTAGATGGAACCCTTGTTCCCTGCATCCTACAATTACTATTAAGTACTGGTTTTCCTAATCTAGTATCAGGTTTTCTTAACATCCTTCTACTTTTTATTATGCAATCCATGAATATATATATGGAAAACATGAAATTATTATATATTTTTTCATAATATATGACTC